TGAACAGATGAATCCAGTCTTTTCCTACAGTCCCAAGAGGTTTACTTTTATCCCAGCTGTCGTGAGTTCTGAAGGTTTTGATGTTGGTAGGCATTACCGGCAGGTAGAAGCAAGAGACATAGGTGAATGGTGCTTAGGTGTATGTGAAGAATCGTTTCCTAGATGTTAGTGTGCCACCGTCCGCCAAAGATGGCTGCTGGCAAATTCAGCAGGCAACCCTTTTTCGTGAGACTTGGGATACAGAACAAGTCATACGGACTGGCATTTTTCTGGATTATGATTTGGGAGAGGTTTCATTTTACAGTTGGAATAATAGAGCTTATCTATGTACCTTCACTGATACTTTCACAGAAAAACTTAGGCCTAATTTCTGTCTTGGATCTCCTTCAAACTCTCTCACTATCTATGTAAACACAGATGAATGGTGAGCTCTTTGGAAGCCTGATCTGTATCTTGTTAGCTTTTCTCTCTGTAATTATGTAATGCCTTTAAGATATTGTATAATATAATCCCTGTTTAATTTTTACATAGTATAATTTCATGAGTCATGGTTTTGTTTTTTCAACAATTTTGTTTTTTTACTTCCATCACTAATGATAATATAGTTTGTTGTTTGTATCACGGGGTGAATCAATTAGGAAGTGTAAATTGCAATTCTAAAAGAAAAGACTTTTTTTAATTACCATGTTTTTCTTACCATTCCTGTTGTATCATCACTAATAAATGTATTTTATCACAAAAAAAAATTAAAAATTAAAATTAAAAATGGTGAAAACCTCTCAAAATGCTGAGAAAGAAATCAACTACATGGTGCATTTTTTAGTCTGAAACATTAACCACATGGAAAAACTAAAATGGATGCAATGATTGTAAAAAAAAAAAAAAAAGAATGCCTGTGGTTATTGGCAACTTTATGTCCAGCAGAAGGAGAATAAACAATTATTAAGCTCTTACTTAAGGGAAGAGACTTTCATCCATTTCAGCAAAGCTCCACCATTGCCTTCCTTAGAAGCTTTAGGTAACATCCTCATTTACAAATGAGAGTAAAAAGGAGGAGGGGGAAAGCCTTGGAGTCATGCCCAAGGTCACACAGTTAGCAAGTGGCAAAGCCAGGAATCAGACCCAGATCTGTTGGACCACAAGCCAGGTACTCTGTCCACCACTGTTGTCCTCTGCAAGCTATAGATGGGGCTGACAATCCAGGTGGGAAGTAAAATAAAGCCATGTGAAAAAATCTAAGAACCATACGACATCCAGGTCTAACAGCTCTTCAGAGAAGAAAACAATTCCATTTCATGGATTTATCATCTAATGCCTTGCTGACTTAAAGAGTTAATACGCCCCTTTCTAAAAATATTCATTCACAGATGGCTAGGCACGGCATTTAAAGGAAAATCATATAAGATCCTTGCCCTCACTGTGAGACAGACCAACGCATAAACAAGAGTTTAGATAGAGTGGATGAGTGTTCCCATAGGAAGACCACAGGGTCTATGGTGGCACAAAGTGGATATCTGTTAAGCCGTGGCTTTGGCAATTTAGGTGATGCCCGTACAGCATGAGCATGTGACAGCATGTTAATGTGCCAGCTCTGAAGTTGTTTTTACGGCGCTTCCATTTGTTGTTGCTCTTTCATTCGACTTTTAAATTCTCTTTCAATCAGTCACTATTTCTCAGCAATTTGTCTCAACTAATTATATTTTATGGATCATGGGTATGGCTTTAAACGGATTCTTAACTGTTTAATCACCTTTCTGATTTCCTATCACCCATGAAAAAGACATAGCAAAAAGTGTTTGGGTTTTGAAGTGAAGGAGTTGCATATTCGAATCTGGCTCTGCTATGTTCCAGGTGGGTGACTGGGGTAAGTTTCTCCCCCTCATGGGATCTCAAATCTGTCATCTAGACTGTTGATCTGTTCTCTTGTTTAACCTTCACCTCAAATCATCCTTCACAGGACTGTGGTGAAGATTAAACAAGATAATAGGACAAAAGACCCTAGTAGGCTTCATACAAAGGAATGTCTTAATGAATCAGAGTTTGGGCCAAAAAGAAAGAAAATACACTATTTTCTCAGGCTGAAACTTCATGCCACTGAATCCATGATTTAACAGGTCAAACCAAGGTCTCCTGCGCAATAAACAATAACCTACACCATGTGCTTTAAGCTGTGTACGATTACAGATGGCAAGGGAGACAAATGGCACATCATTTCATCTTTAAATATTTCAGTGTGTATCTGTAAAAGATAAGGACACATGAAAACAATTGCAGTATTTTTGTATTGTATTCTTTTCCCATCAGAGTTCTGAATCAATTAAAAATATAGAGAATTTCTTCAACAAATAAATAGCAACGGGTAAAAAAGAGAGGAGGGTCACCTATAAATTAATAGAGGCTTAAGGGACATATCAACCAAATACAATGTATGGAATGTATTTCACCCTGATTCAAACAAAATATTACAGTAATTTTTTGAGACTCTCAAGGAAATTTGAAACTTACTGATATTTGATGTTATCACAGAATTACTGTAATCATGATACTGTAATTGTTTTTATATGTCCTTATCTTTTACAGATACATATTGAAATAGTTATAGATGAAATGAAACGATGTCGAGGTTCTTGTAAAGAAGGCTGGGTGGAGAGGATCCGTAGTGTCATCTCTGTGCATTCAGAGTCTTAAGTGTAAAACATTGATCAGGGAGGACTCCATTGCCTAAGAAGAAGCATATATCTATTAATTAGTAGAAAGAAATAGAGCAAAATTAGCACTTTTAGAGAAATATATACCCGTAAGAGAGACTTCATGGAGAAACAGAAAGAACAAAACTTAGGAAAGAAGCCAACAGAACTGTGAAATACTTGGCCATTTTCTCACCATGAAAGTGAGGTGAGGCAAGAATACTGGGGGAACTTGACCAAGTGGAGCAGGAGGGTTCTACTGGAGCTGGGTTTTACATTCACAATCTATGGTTGCCATGACAATAGGGCCTCCGCCTCAGGGTGATGGCATTATAATGAGACACACCACAGTAATTTGTATTTGCACTGGTCAAATTGATCTAGTTGGCTCCATCTTAGGAGAAAGTCTGAGGAGATGGGTGTGGTTTCAACAGCTGAAAAAATGAAGTCTTAAGGGGTAGAATTTGAAAGATTTACTAAATAGTTTATTTGAACCTGACACTCTAGAGTGCTTCTGGGTATGGTGCTTCTCCTACTGACTTTGAGGTCAGTGCAGATAATAAACCACCTAGAGTATGTCTCTATTATCTCACCTATTCCACCTGATGACACTGTCAGAAAGCAACCTGAACCAGGAAAAGGAGGAAGCCCATTCTCCAGTAACCTGTTGTGATGGATTAAGTTGTGTCCCCTCAAAAAATGTGTGTCCACTACAGGGGAAGTCAACGCAACTGACTAAACCAAAGCTAGGAAGTTTCCTGAATGCTATCAAACACTTTGAGGGACAGAGTAGCAGGGGTAGGGGTCTGGGGACCATGCTTTCAGGGGATATCTAGGTCAACTGGCATAACAAAGCTTATTAAGAAAATGTTCTGCATCCTGCTTTGGTGAGTGGCATCTGAGGTCTTAAAAGCTTGCAAGCAGCCATCTAAGATGCATCAATTGGTCCCAACCACCTGGAGTAAAGGGGAATGAAGAACACCAAAGACACAAGGAAAGCAGTAGCCCAAGAGACAGAAAGGGCCACATAAACCAGAGACTCCATCAGCCTGAGACCAGAAGAACTAGATGGTGCCCACCTACCACCAATGACCGCCCTGACAGGGAACACAGCAGAGAGTCTTGGATGGAGCAGGAGAAAGGTGGGGTGCAGAACTCAAATTCTAGTAAGAAGACCAGACTTAATGGTCTGACTGAGACTGGAGGAACCCCAGAAAGCACGGCCCCTGGATTCTCTATCAGCCCAGAACTAAAACAATTTCCAAGGCCAACTCTTCAGACAGGGATTGGACTGGACTGTGGCACATAAAGTGATACTCATGAGGAATGTGCCTCTTAGCTCAAGTGGATACAAGAGACTAAATGGGCAACTTCTGTCCAGAGGTGAGATGGGAAGGCAGAGAGGGTTAGGAGCTGGTTGAATGGACATAGGGAATTAGGGGTGGAAAGGAGGAGTGTGCTGTCACAGTATGGGGAGAGCAATTAGGGTCACATAACAATGTATGTATAAATTTTTGTATGGGAAAAAAAAAATGTGTGTCAACTTGGCTAGTCCATGATTCCCAGTATTGTGTGGCTGTCCAATATTTTGTCATCTGATGTGATTTTCCTATGTGTTGTAAATCCTACCTCTATGATGTTAATGAAGCGGGATTAACGGCAGTTATGTTAATGAGGCAGAACTCAATCTACAAGGTTAGGTTGTGTCTTAATCTCTTTTGAGATACAAAAGAGAGAAGCGAGCAGAGAAACATGTGGACCTCATACCACCAAGAAAGCAGCACCAGGAGCAGAGCGCATCCTTTGGACCCAGGTTTCCTGCACTGAGAAGTTCCTAGATCAGGGGAAGACTGATGTCAAGGACCTTCCCTCAGAGCCAACAGAGAAAGAGAACCTTCCCCTGGAGCTGGCACCCTGAATACAGACTTCTAGCCCCCTAGACTGTGAGAGAATAAATTTCTCTTTGTTAAAGCCATCTACTCATGGTATTTCTGTTATAGCAGCACTAGATAACTAAGCCACCTGTGTATTGGCTTGAAATGGAAACAACTGTAGTAGCCTGCTTTTTGAATAACCTCCCTATCCCAGGAGATTAGGCCAGACCAGAGAACAGGGTGTCAACAACTTGTCACAAACACCGTAAGTTTGGTATCCCTGGGGACTACAGTAACACAACTCAACTTTCCATTCTGAGATGGGCCCTCTGGGCTGGAACAGTGACCAGTGCAGATACTAACAATATGGACTGATTATCTGGAAGTGGACTCACTGTATTTCCATCTTTATTTTGCTGTTTCTCTTCCCCGGTTTCAGGTATACGAAACAGTTGGACACAGTGGTACCACCTTGCTAGCAGAAGTGTTTCTGCCTATCCCTGAAACTACAGTTGTCAGTGGAAGGGCTCCCATTGAAGAAGTTGAGTTTAGCAGTAATCAGCATGTGACACTGGACCACGAGGGAGTCGGAAGTGGTATGGAAAGCTAATTATCCTCAATGTCACACAGTTTGTCACATTTGAACATGTCTTTTTTTTTACTCACTTCTTAGACAATTATAAAATTTCAATCAGAAATTCAAATTAAAACAATAATGATATACAATTTTTTGCAAAGTCTTTTTTTATATACTATTGGTGGTCATGTAAATTCATATAACTATGTAAGTATAAGATAGCTTGGCAGTATGAATTACCAAAAACCAAACCTGCTGCCGTTGAGTTGATTTCAACTCATAGCGAACGTATAGGACAGAGTAGAACTGCCCCATAGGGTTTCCAAGGAGCTGCTGGTGGATTTGAACTGCCAAATTTCTGGTTAGCAGCCAAGCTCTTAATCACTGAACCACCAGGCCTCCAGTGTGAATTAAGGACCTTTAGAATGCTCTTGGATCCCTTAATTCCACTTCTAGGAATCTTTCCTAAGAAAATAATTTGAAATATGGACAAAGCTTTGTGCATAAAAAAATATACATCACAGTGTTATTTATAGGACTGAAAATTTGAAAATAATTAGTAATAAGGAGATTATTAAATAATATTTTTTGTTATTTCTTTCTATAATTCTAATTAGATATATGATAGACCTTCTCACTCTGCCCTCCATGTTTCTTAACATTTCTTTAGTATACTTGGTATCTTTTTTCTATCACTGCTACATTCTGTGTAATTGTTTTAAATATATTTTCCAAGTCATGAATTCTGTCTTTGGCTGTGTCTAATCACTGAAAAAATTTGTTCTGTTGTACATGGGGTCTCTATGAGTCAGAACTGACTCGATGGCACCTAACAGCAACAATCATTGAAACTAATCCACTGAGTTTCTAACTTCAATTATTATATTTTTTATTTCTATAAATTCTTTTCCAATCAGTCTGGTTAGGTCTGAGAGCTTCTTGTCCTTTCATTAGACTCTCAATTGTTTTATTTACTTACTTATTTATGAATTATTTTATTTAAACATATTAAACATTTATTTTATATTTTATATCTGACCATTCCAGTATCTATCTGTTCATTTGTCTGATCTGCTGTCCCTTGCTCATGGTAGTTTGTTTCCTCATGTGTCTGGTTATTTTATTGTGAACTCATATCTGGAACTTAATCTGCAAGAATTCTGTGAGGCCAAAGTCCAATCACCAGCCTAAAAGTTTGGAGACCTAGGCTTTAGTTCCAGCTCTGATACTGACAAGCTGTGTGACCCTGGTAGTCATATAACATCATTGAATCTCATCTTCCTTATTCATAAAATGGAGCTACTTATATCTCCTTTAATGTCTCATGGAGTCAATTTGAAGATGAAGATGAGGTATTTAATATGAAAGAAAGATCTCTGAAAAGCACAATGATGCTGTTAACAGTATAATAGTGATATTGTTTTGTTGTTGATAACGTTAACTGGAGATCCAGAGTATGAACTCGCTATATTTAGTACTTAAAAGTACTTTGTTCCCTTAGTTCATGAAGCATACTGCCCAGAAAGTTTTTAATCATTAATTTCCAGATCAGTGGAGGCGAAATCAATGAGGTTTTACCGCAACCACAATAGCTTAGTAATAGCTAATATTTGCTGAGTCTCACTACTTGTCAGCTACCATCTACATGCTTCGCAGCTATCAACTTATTTAACTTGCTGTCCTTCACTCCAAGTACACTCCCACATTCAGGCATTTGCACTTGATCCTTCTGCCAGGAATTCTCTTTCCCAAGATATCTACATGTCTCACTTTTTTCAGGCCTTTATTCAAAAGTCATCTCTCATTGAACCTTCCTTGGCCACCCTATCTAAAATTTTTTCCCCTCTTCACCCACCTAAAATTTTCTGTACACTTTCCCTAATTTATGTTCCTCCTTACCACTCATCACTCTCTCTACCATACTAAACACATCTCTTATTTGTGTTATTTATTGCCCATCTCCCTCACTTTGATATAAACTCCATGGGAACAGCAATACTTACAGTTTTCTTTCTGTCTTTGCTACTATATCTCCAGTACCTGGAATAGTGGGTGGCACACAGTTGGAGCTCAGATAAGTATTTGTTGAATGAATGAATGAGTTTTCACAACAATCCTTTGAATGAGTTACTATCATTATCCCTATTTTACACATAAAGAAACTAAGGCTCAGAGAAGTTGAGTAATTTATCCAAGATTACTCAGCTGTTAAGTGGCAGAGCCAGAATATGCATGCACGTGGTCCAACTCCAGAGTGCATCCTTATAACTGCTACACTCTGCTGTCAGAGATAGAGCAGAGTGGCTGGTTCTGCGCATCATCACCTGAAGAGGTTCCGTGATGTTGGCTTGGATTACCTGTTCCATATCCACCACCCCACCCACAGCAAGTTCCATTCATCTACTATCTACTTTCTTGCTAGAACTGGCCTTACTCTCTCTTTCTAAATAGCATCCTGTTTAATCTGGTGTTTCCCTAGGAGTGCCCTTCTCATTTGAAGCTGACGGTGGTAATCAACTGATTCTAATGACTTCGGGGAAGGTGTCCAACAGCGTGGCATGGGCTATTGGAGAAAATGGCGTACCTCTAGTTCCTCCATTGTCACAGCAGAACACTGGATTTCGGAGGTAATGTATAGCTAGAATAAATTAATGAGCAATGTCAGTGTTAGCATTAAATGTAAACCAAGGAGGGTAAGGAGGGGGAGCTTGCTATAGCTCATTCTCTTCTTTTATGTTCATGTGTAATACTTTTCAGGGGTTTTTATTGTTCTTAAAGTCAAAGTCAAAATATTAATAGCCTAACAAATGTTGGGTTAGGTACTGTAAAAAGCACTTCACCTCATTTAATCTTCACGATAACTCTATAAAATATTATTATTATTTTCCATTTTACAATTGGGGGAAGTGCATAGCATATACACCCACTGCTCACTGATAGACATGGTTAGGTTCCAAAGACCAGGGCGTTATGGGAAAATCGGCATTATGTGAAATACTCGTGATTTCCTGCCCAACCTCTCCTCCCCAGCTCCAGCCCTCTAGCTGTGCAGCCACAGCGTCTCTGTACCTCCGCCCCCGCTCCCCGCGTCCACGTGCGAGAGGAGCGCCGGGTGGAGGGTGAGACGCACCGGGGAGACTGCCAGGAGGAAGGAGTAGAGGCGCGAGCCGGAGCCTCTCGAGCCACGGGGGCTCCAGACTGGGGTTAAATACCCTGGGGGTGGTGCCGCTCCTCCCTCCGTGCACCCTGGCATCCTGGACAAGCTACACTCGGCCAGCTGCACAGCCCAGGGTGTACGGTTGGCAGGGTTGTTAATGTGCAAAATAATCAGAGTAGATTTTTTACTGTTATCCTAAATGCGAGATGTCAAATAACTACACAGCCCGTAAGTGAGGAGTAGGTGTAGTTATATATATTTGGCCCTCATTTAAGTTTTGTTGCTAATGATGTTTGGTATAGGAACCTTCTAGTTACATGAAAAAAAGTCCCTGTGTGGTGCACGCAGTTAACACATTCAGCTGCTAACCAAAAGACTGGTGGTTCGATTCCACCCACAGGCACCTCAAAAGAAAGTCCTGGTGATCTACTTCTGAAAAATCAACCCTTGAAAACTCTATGGAGTATAGCTCTACTCTGATACACATGGGGTCGCCATGAGTCAGAATTGGCTTGATGGCAACTGGTTACTGGAATGAAAGTCTTTATTCTCCAGTCCTCTTCCTTGATTGCTCGATCCTTTAGGTACTTAATCAGAACAGAAGAAATGGGTTCTAGGCCTCATCAGTTTACCCTGGGCTGTCCCCCTGTCTTAGAGGTTGATGCCAGTGCAGGCAGTCTGGACTGAGGGAGCCAGGTGGCCTGGTTCGACTCTTGGCTCTGTCATCCCTTCTCAACGTGTCTTGAATCCATCTTTTACCACTCTAGGCCTCAACTGCCTCATCTGTAAAATAAAAAGATTATCCTGATCACCCAGAGAACACTTTCCAAGTCACAGACTATAATTTTCAACGTGTGGAAAAGCAGACACTGGGCTTGTTGTGCTCCCTTTCTGCCTGCTCCATCCCAATGCCCAACACACACCTGTACCCTTGTGACAAAAATGACAAGGTGACAATGCTGCTCTGTACTTTTTAACTTAGGAGACTGGCAGCCATTTCCAGTGGAGACTTGTGTATGCCTTTAAGCTTACACATTTTGCAGTCATTTGACTTGAAATTAATGCTGGAGAAATTTCTTTGGGATTAAAACTTCCAAATCCTCAGAAGAGGTGAAACACAATGTGAGTCATGAGATATTCAGGACTATTAATAAAACCCCAACTCAACCTCACTGACAAGCTTGGCAGCCGTGGAACTCAGTTTTGTCCAAAGTCGGTGCTCGTTGTATAAGTGTTTATTTTTCTTTTATTTTATCCTCAGCTACAAGTGGTCCCCAGCTGCCGAGGACATGAAGCTCTGGGGGCTTTCTGCACCAGATGCCAAGGCTGCTTTTCACAGCCTGGCTCCAGGGACTGGTGGGGATCCTTTTGTATATGGGCAGAGTTGTAGGAATGGGCCACATTTGCATTCCTTCCATTAGCACTTCTTTATTTTCCTTATAACATATTTAATAGCAATAATCAGGTAAAGAAAAATGGCGAAAATCCTTCCTTATGATAAGATTCTCTCTCTTAGAACATAATAGCTCCCTTAAGCAATGCTGGCCTTGGGAATATGTGGTCCTGACGAAAACGGCTCTGTGGTAAAGTCAGTCTCATGGAATCAACTGTTTTTCAGTGCTTTGAAGAGAGCAGATGCTATCTCATCTATTGGCACATCAGGACTGACAGACATGAAAAAGTTGGCCAAGTGGGCAGCCGAGTCCAAGCTCGACCCGAATGACCCCAACAACGCCCCTTTGATGCAGTTGATCTCGGTAACGTGGCGTGAGTCCTGTGCACACACAGTTTCTTGACTTCACCTGATACCAATTTATGCGCATTTCTTTTTTAAAAATTTTTTTTATTGTTGTAGTTAAAATGAAGTTTACATTTCAAGTTAGTCTCCCTTACAAAAATTTTTACATACGTTGTTATGTGACTTTAATTGCTCTCCGCACACTGTGACAGCACACTCCTCCTTTCCACCCTATTCCCCATGTCCATTCAACCAGCTCTTAACCCTCTCTGCCTTCCCATCTCACCTCCAGACAGAAGCTGCCCATTTAGTCTCTTGTATCTACTTGAGCTAAGAGGCACACTGCTCACGAATATCACTTAATGTCCCATAGTCCAGTCCGATCCCTGTCTGAAGAGTTGGCCTCAGAAATTGTTTTAGTTTTGGGCTGATAGAGAATCCAGGGGCCGTGCTTTCTGGGGTTCCTCCAGTCTCAGTCAGACCATTAAGTCTGGTCTTCTTACTAGAATTTGAGTTCTGCACCCCACCTTTCTCCTGCTCCATCAGGGACTCTCTGTTGTGTTCCCTGTCAGGGCAGTCATTGGTGGTAGCCGGGCACCATCTAGTTCTTCTGGTCTCAGGCTGATGAAGTATCTGGTTTCTGTGGCCCTTACTTTCCTTGTGTCTTTGGTGTTCTTCATTCTCCTTTACTGAAGGTGACTGGGAGCATTTCATGCATCTTAGATGGCCACTTACAAGCTTTTAAGACCCCAGACACCACTCACCAAAGTAGGATGCAGAACATTTTCTTAATAAGCTTTGTGATGCCAATTGACCTAGATGTCCCCTGAAAGCATGGTCCCCAGACCCCTACCCCTGCTACTCTGTCCCTCAAAGTGTTTGATAGTATTCAGGAAACTTATTAGCTTTGGTTTAGTCCAGTTGTGCTGACTTCCCCTGTGGTGTGTGCTGTCCTTCCCTTCACCTAAGATAATTCTTATCTACTATATGGTTAGTAAATAACCCTCACCCTCCCACCCCACACCCGTAACCATCAAAGAATGTTTTCTTCTGTGTTTAAACCTTTTCTTGAGTTCTTATAATACTGGTCTTATATAATATTTGTCCTTCTATGACTGACTAAATTCACTCAGCATAATGAGTTCCAGCTTCCTCCATGTTATACGATGTTTCATGGCTTCATTGTTGTTCTTTATTGTTGAGTAGTATTCCACTGTGTGGGTATACCATAATTTGTTTATCCATTTGTCCGTTGATGGGCATCTGGGTTGCTTCCATCTTTTTGCTATTATGAACAGTGCTGCAATGAATATGGGTGTGCATATATCTATTCATGTGATGGCTCTCATTTCTCTAGGATATATTGCAAGGAGCGGGATAGCTGGATCATATGGTACTTCAATTTCTAGCTTTTTAAGGAAGTATGTGCATTTCTCTTATGCTGTCCTATGGAACGGTGTTTAGGAACATGAGTTCTGGGTTGAATGACAGGCTTAACTTTCAGTTACCAGCCACTTACCTGGCTGTCTGACCAGGGCAGGTGCTCCATGCCTGAGCCCCAGTGGTGCCCTCATTGTGTGGTATGAGGAAATGAGCAGATGTATATAAAGACTTAGCTGGGCACACAATAGGTGTGCAATAAATATTAGCTACTATTGTTACTCTTACCTCTGACCTCTATAAAACCCCTAAGAGATAGATTTTCTTTTCCCCATTCTCTTGAGAGTAAACTGAGTTCAGAGACACTGAGTAACTTCTCAAGGTCACACAGTTAGGAAGGATTTAGATCCAAGTTGCTCTGATTTCAGAATGTGTGTTCTTTCTGCCACACCTTAAAGTACTGATAAACCAAACCAAACCATTACTGTCAAGTCGATTCTGACTCACAGCGACCCTATAGGACAGAGTAGAACTGCCCCATAGGGATTCCAAGGCTGTAAATCTTTTTTTTTTTCCCCATACAAAAATTTATACATACATTGTTATGTGACTTTAATTGCTGTCCCCATACTGTGACAGCACACTTCTCCTCTCCACCCCTGATTTCCCACCTCCACTCAACCAGCTCCCAACCCTCTCTGCCTTCCCGTCTCACCTCCGGACAGAAGCTGCCTGTTTAGTCCTTGTATCTACTGGAGCTAAGAGGCACACTGCTCATGAGTATCACTTAATGTCCCACAGTCCAGTCCAATCCCTGTCTGAAGAGTTGGCCTCAGAAATTGTTTTAGTTCTGGGGTGATAGAGAATCAAGTGGCCATGCTTTCTGGGGTTCCTCCAGTCTCAGTCAGACTCACTAGAATTTGAGTTCTACACCCCACCTTTCTCCTGCTCCATCCATGACTCTCTGTTGTGTTCCCTGTCAAGGCGGTCATTGGTGGTTGCCGGGCACCATCTAGTTCTTCTGGTCTCAGGCTGATGAAGTCTCTGGTTTATATGGCCCTTTCTGTCTCTTGGGCTACTACTTTCCTTTTGTCTTTGGTGTTCTTCACTTACCTTTACTCCAGGTAGTTGGGACCAATTGATGCATCTTAGATCCAAGGCTGTAAATCTTTATGGAAGCAGATGGCCACATCTTTCCTGTAGAGTGGCTGATGGGCAACCTTCTGGTTAGCAGCTGAGCACTTAACCACTGCACCACCAGGGATCCTTAAAGTACTGATGGGGCATTTTAAGAAACGTTTTCTTTTTTTTCTTGTTTGATGACTAATTAGATTATCATTTAGGTTTCACTTAAACATTTATCAGATAAATGGTTTGTTTCTACCGTAACATTCAAAGTCCGTTCTTCAGTGAATTTATAAGTAAAATGGAACATTAGTCAGTAAATGGTTTTTCTTGGTATCAGATACAATAGTTTTTACTGCCAGGTTCATAGTTCCATAAAAACATAATAAACAAGTAGATGATCCAGAGAGTGACCATAGCAACACATTCTTATGATCATGTTTTAGTATGAGTTCATCAGTAGGGTAATTATAACCAATATGAAAATTTTCTTTTCTCTTTTAGTCTTTCTAAGTCCCCAAAACAAGCTTTGGTTTACTGTGACTTTTGTCTTTATAAACTCTCCTTCCAACATGTTACTTCTTAATATCAATAATATGAGAAAGAATAGGCTGTATTACCTAAAGTGTAGTCTATTCCATGTCAAGTTTTCAGATCACTTTTCAGTTACTATCTTTTATTTGTTTATTTATTTTATTTTGAAGCCAAATCCCTTTAATTAAATTGACAACAAAAGATATGGTCCTTCTAAGAACTGAGGAATGATAGGCAGCCATTTGCAATCTCAGTATGTGGCGGCTGGTATTTACCTCTCTGTTTCACTTTTGGTGTGTTAAGAAATGACAGATTTTCATAATCATTAGTGAGTCTTTCCACTGATTCAGTTAACTAAATGTGGAGGGTAATCAGTTGCTATCTTTTACTAAGGAGTCCCTGAGTGGTACAAACAGTTAATATGCTTGGCTGCTAACTGAAAGGTTCATGGTTCGAGTCTACCCAGAAGTGCCTTGGAAGAAAGCCCTGGCAATCTACTTCCATAAGATCACAGCCTTTGAAAACCCAATGGAGCATAGTTCTACTCTGACAGATGGAGTCACCATGAGTTTTGGAATCAACTTGATAACAACTGGTATATTTAAATCAGCAGTAATATAACACGAATATGTTTATTTTTTCTTCCTATTTGCCTTCCTATAGAAGGATAAAACACAAGGATTGCCTTCTGACTTGTCTTTGCCTATGAACCAGAATTTTCACAGCAGGATCACCTTTCTCATTATAAAACCCCAGCAAATCTCTGCTCACTGGCTTTCCCTCTGCCCATGGGGAGGTCACAGCTGGCAAAGCGCCAAGCCCAGAGGCAAGCAGACACCTGGGTAGAGCGTCCTCCACACCTGCTTAGCCTACCAGTGGTATCCTAAAGCTGTCCTTTCTGTGCCGCTGCGCAGGGGCTTTGGAGGTTGGCTTGCCCTGACCCCTCTCTGGCTCAGTTTCCTCAGTGATCAAGACCACGAGGTGGTATTCAGATGTAGGAGAGCCTGGTCATGGAGCCAAGTGAAGCCCATCAGCTGACTCTGCAGCCTTTATGTACCTATATGTGCCCAAATAGATTGAAACAGTCATGCATATATTAGGTTTTATACACACTGTGTGTGTGTGAGTCCCCACATGTCTGTCAGTTTGTCGTACTGTGGTGGCTTGCATGTTGCTGTGATGCTGGAAGCTGTGCTACCTGTATTTCAAATACCAGCAGGGTCACCCATAGTGGACAGGTTTCAGCTGAGCTTCCAGGCTAAGACAGACTAGGGAGAAGGACCTTATATGAGTAATCTTATTCCAGTGGGTACCTAGTAATACAGTGGGGGCTAATAAAAATCTCTCAGTTTTCAGTCTGTGTATTTACATAATAACACCTATTAGGGAAGCAGACATACCAAAAACATACCTTATATAATTTTTGTTTTTTTGAAAAATGATTTGTGGTACTTTTTCATCTAACTACTAATTGAATATAATGAGCCCTGGTGACATAATGGTTAAACGCTCGGCTGCTAACTGAAAGGCTGGCAATTCAAACCCACCTAGCGGCTCCACAGAAGGACCTGGCAATCTGCTTCCATAAAGATTACAGCCTAGGAAACCCTGTAGGGCAGTTCTACCCTGTCACATGGGGTCACTATGTGTTGGAGTCAGCTCAACAGCACCCAACAACAACAACAAATTAACATAATATTATCTGCCTCATTACCATTGTACGTTTATTGTATTTTGTCTGTAAATGAAACCTGGGATGTGTCAAGTGTCTCAGTCGAAAACTTAACTTTCTGTTCACAAAAGTCCATCGCCACACTTCTTTGGGTGAAAACTGCCTGTCATCTAGAGTGTTGCATTTTCTGTTTTTTACAGGTTGCTATCAGTGGTGAATCCTATGTCCCTGATTTCTTTCGACTGGAACAGCTGCAACAAGAATTTAACTTTGTTCCAGATGAGGAATTAAATAAATCCAAACGATTTAGACTTCTTCATCTTAGAAGTCAAGAGGTGCCAGAATTCCGAAATTATAAGCAAATTCCAGTATATGACCGAGAAATTATGGAAAAAGTATTCCAGGTAAGAAATTTCCTTCAAGGGATTAATAAAATAATAACAATTATATATGTGTGTGGTGTATATATACAAATATATATGTAATATACCAAATGCAATATATAATAATACATATGATGTAATGTAATGTATATATTGTAACATTCCCAGTAGCAATATTGGTTTAGCTTTTATAGAACTGTCATACATAATCTTTCTCTTATTTTTCTTGAAGAATTCAGTAATCTATTTGACTCAATATAATGACATATAAACTAAGAAAAATTACAATCTTAGGGTTGGAAATTATCTTAACTGCTAAACCCAACCAAACCCGTTGCCGTCGAGTTGATTCCAACTACAGTGACCCTACAGGGCAGAGTAGAACTGCCCCATAGAGTTTCCAAGGAGCGCCTGGTGGATTCGAACTGCCAAACTTCTGGTTAGCACCCATAGCTCTTAACCAGTACACCACTATTTCCTCTTAACTGTTAATATGGCTCATTATCTTGCCTTAGCCAGGAATTCCATTCCATTTTAATCAGTAAGTATTTACTAAGCACTGTGTATAAGGACCAGTGCTAAGCACTGCAGGGGAAGCTAGATGGTAAGATTTGAACAGCCTTGGGGCAGGTGGGACAAGAAGGAAGTTGGGGACAGGGCTGGGCATCCTAGGCAAGGGCCACAGGAGAACAAAGGCTTGGAGGAGGATTGATCATGGCAGGTGTGGGACAAAGGAGCCTTGCAGGTGCAGTGGGCAATAAGCCTGTATAGATGGGGCAGGCCAGTGAAAGCCAGACAGACTCATTTGTATTTGATGAGGTACATGGAGAGCCACTAGAAAATCTTAGTTATCTAGTGCCGCTGTAACAGAAATACCACAAGTGGGTGGTTTTAACAAACAGAAATTTATTTTCTCACAGTTCAGGAAGCTAGAAGTCTGCATTCAGGGTGCCAGCTCTAGGGGAACTCTCTCTTCAGCTCTGAGGGAAGGTCCTTGTCTCTTCACCTTGTTTCCATTCCTTGGAGATCTCCATGTGGCTTGGCACCTATCTTATCCCATCTTTGCTTGCTTGTTTAATCTCTTTTATATCTCAAAAGAGATTGACTCAAGACACACCCTACACTAATCATGCCTCATTAACATAATAAAAAAGCCCATTCTCAAATGGGATTATAACCACAGGCGTAAAGTGTAGGATTTACAACACATATTTTGGGAGGACACAATTCAATTCATAATGGTAATGTAGTTGCTGTTAAACCAAAAACCAAACTCATTGCTGTCGGGTTGATTCCGACTCATAGTGACCCTATAGGGCAGAGTAGAACTGCCCCATAGGTTCCCAAGGAGAGGGGGATTCCAACTGCTGACCTTCTGGTTAGCAGCTGAGCTCTTAACCACTGCACCACCAGGGCTCCTGTTGCTGTTAGTTGTCATCAAGTCAATTCTGACTCATGGCAACCCTACATGTGCAGAGTAGAATTACTCCATAGGGTTTTCAAAGTTGTGACCTTCCAGAAGCAGATTGCCAGGCCTGTATTCCGAGGAGCCTCTGGGTGGGTTTGAACAGCCAGCCTTTTGATTAGTAGCCAAGTGCTTAACCGTTTGTGCTACCCAAGAATTCCTTGAAAGTAATGCTAGTATGATTTTTCATGCAGAAACTATTCTAGAAGTGTATTTTTGGTTTCTTGGTTCCTCTTTGTGTTAGTTTGGACTCATGATTGTAAGTGGTAAAAACCCAATATGAACTACCTCAGGCACCAAGGGGAATTTATTGAATGATGAAATCCCAGTACAGGGTTAAATATCTAAAGGTGTATAATGGCAAGAATGCATCTGTGCCTCAAGCACGCCTAGATTCAGGTCCTCAGTGGAAGGACCCTTCCTCCATCCTGTCTGGATTTCTTGTGGTGTGTTGGCTTCATTCTCCCTCATTGCAGACAGATTTTCTCGACCTGGCCAAGTGGTCACTGACATTATCCAGTGTTCACATCGAGTAGCTTCAGCCAGCAGAGAGAGATGTTTCTTCTCAAAAGTCTTGGGGGACAGCTCTGAGTCACCCAGCCTGGGTTAGTTGCCATCCCTGGGCATTCAACTGTGACCAAAGAGAGGGCTGAAAGGAGAACATGACAGTCACCTGGGGTCCACATGGAATTTTATTGACAGAAAAAGGGGGCAAAGTACAGAGGCCTGAGCAGACAAAGCCAAAAGTATCCACTACTCTCCTCTAAATAAGTGAGCCATGAACTTTTTTTTTTTTTTTACTATTTTTGTAATTGCTTCACTTAAAATAGAAAAGGCAAAATTTAAGCAGAGGTTTTGTCTAGGTTGCTTCGATGAGCTTATCATCTTGAACTGTCACCACACTCTTGTTACCTTCTGTGGCCTCCATTTCTTCCTGCACAAGCATGTTAACCTGTAACTACCGCGTTGAATTTTCTCCCAGTAACAAGCAGTGCAATCAGTTGATTCAGAATCCTGGTCACTGCTTCAAAGATCAATTCCGAACCAAAAGTTAAGAGGAAGGTGGAAGAAACATTTAAAACCATAATTGATGACTTAAACCATGTGTGATAAATAATTCTCTAATCTCAAGAGGGGCATCAGAGAGTACTCTAAAAATCATAAAACTATTACTTTCTTTTCATTTTAGGACTATGAGAAACGGTTACGAGACAGAAATGTAATTGAAACCAAGGACCACATAGACACCCACAGAGCTGTAGTAGCCAAATACCTCCAGCAGGTAAGAAAAATCATTTAAAACAGTCTTCATAGGGGAAAAATAGCCAGCACTCTGAGGTTTTCCTTACTCTTACAAGTATCTATGTCATCTTACACAAGTTGTTCAACCTCTCTCGACTTATTTTCTCATAAATTTAAAAAAACCTGTTGCCATCAAGTCGATTGCGACTCATAGCAACCCTAAAAGAAAGAGTAAAACTGCCCCATAGGGTTTTCAAGGAGTGACTTGTGGATTCCAACTGCCAACATTTTGGTAAGCAGCTGAGTTCTTAACCACTGTGCCACCAGGGCTTCCTTCTCATAATTAAACACATCCGTCAGTTTGTCATACCTTGGGGGCTTGTGCATTGCAGTGATGGCAGAAGCTATGCCACCAGTATTCAAATACCAGCGGGGTCACCCATGGCAGACAGGTTGCAGCTGAGCCTCCAGACTAAGACAGACTAGGAAGAAGGACTGGCAGTCTACTTCTGAAAAGAATTAGCCAGTGAAAACCTTATGAAGAGCAGTGGAACATTGTCTGATGTAGTGCCGGAAGATGAGCCCCTCAGGTTAGAAGGCACTCAGCATACGACTGGGGAAGAGCTGCCTCCTGAAAGTAGAGTCGACCTTAATGATGTGGATGGCATCAAGCTTTTGGGACCTTCATCTGCTGATCTGGTGCGACTCAAAATGATGGGGAAAAAAAGCTGCAAACATCCATTAATAATCAGAATCTAGAATGTATTAATGATGAATCTAGGAAAATTGGAAATTGTCAAAAATGAAATGGAACACATAAACATCAATATCCTAGGCATTAGTGAGCTGAACTGGACTGGCACTGGCCATTTTGAATCAGACAATCGTATGGTCTACTATGCTGGGAATGACAGCTTGAAAAAGAATGGCATTGCATTCATCATCAAAAAGAACATTTCAAGATCTATCCTGAAATACAATGCTGTCAGTGATAGGATAATATCCATACACCTACAAAGAAGACCAGTTAATACGACTATTATTCAAATTCACACACCAACCACTAAGGCCAAAGATGAAGAAATTGACGATTTATACCAACTTCTGCAGTCTGAAATTGACTGAACAAGCAATCAAGATGCATTGATAATTACTGGTGATTGGAATGTGAAAGTTGGAAACAAAGAAGAAGGATCGGTAGTTGGAAAATATGGCCTTTGTGATAGAAACGATGCTGGAGATCGCATGATAGAATTTTGCAAGACCAATGACTTCTTCATTGCAAGAATCTTTTTTCACCAATATAAACAGCAGCTGTACACGTGGACCTCACCAAATGGAATACACAGGAATCAAATCGACTACATCTGTGGAAAGAGGTGATGGAAAAGCTCAATATCATTAGTTAGAAAAAGGCCAGGGGCCGACTGTGGAACAGACCATCAATTGCTCATATGCAAGTTCAAGTAGAAACTGAAGAAAATTAGAATGATTAGAAAATTAGAACAAAGTATATCCCCCTGAATTTAGAGACCATCACAAGAATAGGTTTGACACGTTGAACACTAATGACCGTAAACCAGACAAGTTGTGGAATGACATCAAGGACATCATCCATGAAGAAAGCAAGAGGTCATTAAAAAGACAGGAAACAAAGAAAAGACCAAAATAGATGTCAGAAGCAACTCTGAAACTTGCTCTTGAATGTCAAGTAGCTAAAGCAAAAGGAAGAAATGATGAAGTAAAAGAGCTGAAAGGAAGATTTCAAAGGGTGGCTCCAGAAGACAAAATAATGACATGTGTAAAGACTTTGAGATAGAAAACCAAAAGGGAAGAACACGCTTGGCATTTCTCAAGCTGAAAGAAATGAAGAAAAAATTCAAGCTTCGAGTTACAATACTGAAGAATTCTACGGGGAAAATATTAAACAACCCAGGAAGCATCAAAAGAAGATGGAAGGAATACACAGAGTCACTATACCAAAAAGAATTGGTAGATGTTCAACCATTTCAGGAGGTAGCATATGATCAGGAACAGATGGTACTGAAGGAAGAGGTCCAAGCTGCACTGAAGGAATTGGCAAAAAACAAGGATCCAGGAATTGGCAGGAACACCAATTGAGATGTTTCAACAAACAGATTCAGCACTGGAGGTGCTCACTCATCTATGCCAAGAAATTTGGAAGACAGCAACCTGGCCAACCAACTGGAAGAGATCCACAATTGTGCCTACTCCAAAGAAAGGTGATCTAACTGAATTTGGAAATTATCGAACAATATCATAATATCACACACAAGTAAAATTTTGCTGAAGATCATTCAAAAGCTGCTGCAGCAGTATGTCGACAGGGAACTGCCAGAAATTCAAACTAGATTCAGAAAAGGATGTGGAAGCAAGGATATCATTGCTGATGTCAGATGGATCCTGGCTGAAAGCAGAGAATACCAGAAAGATGTTTACCTGTGTTTTATTGACTGTGCAAAGGCATTCGACTATGTGGATCATAACAAATTATGGATAACACTGCAAAGAATGGGAATTCCAGAACACTTAATTGTGCTCATGAGGAACCTGTACATAGATCAAGAGGCAGTCGTTTGAACAGAATGAGGGGATAATGCATGATGGTATAAAGTCAGGAAAGGTGTGCATCAGGGTTGTATCCTTTCACCATACTTATTCAATCTGTATGCTGAGCAAATAATCCGAGAAGCTGGACTATATGAAGAAGAATGGGGCATGAGGATTGGAGGAAGACTCATTAACAACCTGCGATACATAGATGACACAGCCTTGCTTGCTGGAAGTGAAGAGGACTTGAAACACTGATGAAGATCAAAGACCACAGCCTTCAGTATGGATACATCTCAACATAAAGAAAACAAAAATCCTCACAACTGGACCAATAAGCAACATCACAATAAATGGAGAAAAGGTGAAAGTTGTTAAGGATTTCATTTTACTTGGATCCACAATCAACACCCATGGAAGCAGCAGAAGAGAAATCAAAAGACACACTGCACTGTGCAAATCTACTGCAAAAAACATCTTTAAAGTGTTAAAAAGCAAAATGTCACCTTCAAGACTAAGGTGTGCCTGACTCAAGCCTTGGTGTTTTCAATCACCTCATATGCAAGCGAAAGCTGGACGATGAATGAAGAAGACTGAAGAAGGATTGATGCTTTTGAATTGTGGTGTTGGTGAAGAATATTGACAATACCATGGACTGCTGAAAGAATGAACAAATCTGTCTTGGAAGAAGTATGGCCAGAATGCTCCTTAGAAGCAAGGATGGAGAGACTATGTCTCATATACTTTGGACATGTTATCAGGAGGGATCAGTCCCAGGAGAAGGACATCATGCTTGGTAAAGTAGAGGGTCAGCAAAAAAGAGGAAGACCCTCAATGAGATGGATTGACACAGTGGCTAAAACAATGGGCTCAAGCATAACAACAATTGTGGGGATGACGCAGGACCGGGCAGTGTTTCGTTCTGTTGTATGTAGCGTCGCTATAAGTCGAAACCAACTCGACGGCACCTAACAACAACAATTGATTAAACTCTATCTTCACATTTTGAACATATGAAACCACTAAAATGTGTCCCATTTACTTGTAAGATTGCAAAGAATTCTACTTCCAAGTCATACTTTTTCTAATATTTGAATGTTTGTATCACAGTACCTTTGTACTCAGGAAAAAAAATGTTTTTAAACCACATGCTACCAGCCCTTCTGCACTAGAAAACTAAAAATTAAAGTTGAAACACTCTTTTGTCTTTCTTTCCTTTTTTCTTTTCTTCCTTCATTTAACCTTCATTTAATAAACTAAACTTGTAAGCCGTGCTACAATGGTTACAGTACATTTTTCCCATCCAGTTGATTTGCCCTGTAGCTCATGTACAAAACAGCAGTTGATGATCTTTAAAGAATATTTAGGAAGTGCGTCAGTCTGAATAGCGGAAAAACTCGACAATTAGATGTGTGTGCTTTGTGACTGGACCTATTATTTCCTAATTGTTCATTCTTCCATACAGCAAAATTCTGTTACCTTTTCCAGACCCTGAGAGTATAACAGTAAACAAAACAGAAAAATCTGTCTTTAGGGAGCTCAGAATCTAGTAAGGAGAGCTAAAGAGGTGACCGTTTACAGTAGGAGGCGGTAGTGGTCCAGAGAAAATTAAAGCTTGCTAAAGGGATGGAAGCCATGAGGCAAAAATGTAAAGAAGTTCAGGGAAGGAACCATGAAGTGTATACAAACAACATTTTAACTAAAACTGGCTTCTTTCCCCAGGTTAGAGAATCTGTGGTACATCGTTTCCAAGTTGCAAAACACCACTTTCTTCTTTCTGATTTGGTAGTAGAAGAAGAAGTTCCCAATATCAGGTAAAAACAAGCAAACATTTTATTTCTCATATTAAAAAATTGTTATTTTTATTATGTTATATGCTAGATAAGGAGCCCTGGTGGCGCAATGGTTAAGTGCCCAGCTGCTAACCGAAAGGTCAGCGGTTGGAACCCACCACTGGGTCTGTGGGAGAAAAGACCTGGCGATCTGCTCCTATAAAGATTGCAGCCTAGGAAACCCTATGGGGCAGTTCTGCCCTGTCCTCTAGGGTCATTATGAATCACAGTCGACTTGACGGCACACAACAACAACAATATGAAAGATGCTGTATAATTATAAGATTTTTCTCATTGTATGGTGTTCATTCAGGCTCAAAATAATGCTGGAAACCTGGTGAAAACCTGGTTAATGTCTCACAATTACATTAGTTGAGGGATTTCTATTAAAACAAGTCATCCTAGATCTGACCCCATCACATTTCAGTAGAACCCATTTCATCTGTCACTACTTCCAAATAAACCTTGCCAGCCTCTGCCATTTTCTCATTCCAATTAAGCTGCTTCCCGGTATAAATTCGACAGCCTTTCCCCCTGCACATACCCCTTCCTGCTTTCATAATCTCCCAGTGCCAGACATCCCCTTGCTCTCCTATCACATGGCAGTGTAGGTGGCTAACAAGCTAGCCTGCCAAGATCCTGGGGGTAGGAGGAGGAGGCCTGGCCCTAGCACCATAGCTGAGGGGAAGAGAACTGGTATATGTATGTTTGGTGAAGGGAAAATGGATATTTACATAGAAATTGGAAATTGTATTTGCTTGATTGACTCCCTTTTATTTAGAATAATCCTTCAATTCTCTCAACTAGGAATGGATGCATAAAAAATTAAAGACAATTTCCTAAATTGGTGGTCTCATGCTGTCCACAAGGCCCCTGGGTGGCACAAACGGTTTGTGCTCAACTATTAACATAAAGATTGACCATTAGAACCCACCCAGAGTACTGTGGAAGAAAGTCCTGGTGATCTGCTTCTGTAAAGATTACAGTCAAGAAAACCCTGTGGAGCAGTTCTATTCTGTAACGCATGGGGTCGCCATGAGTTGGAATCGACAGCAATGAGTTTGGTTTGGGGTTTTTTTGGCACTGTCTGTTAACTTTATGACCTTTTCTGTGATTAAATCTCCTGGACTCCTAGAAAGATTATTTCCGATGTATGTATTTCCTCTCCTTTGAAACACTGTCAAGTTAGGAGGGAGACAAATAGCCATGATAACCCTAGGAGCCCCTTTGTCTCACCCACGCACCGAAGTAAGGCTGTGCCCACATAAATTCCTCCAAACCTCGCTTTTTATTCCAGGGCCAGAGTCCAGTCATTGAATGTTTTTTTTTCAGTCGTGAAAATTACATTTAGAATAGATGATGATTTTTCATGCTGTTTTTCATTTTCTTCCCCCCTCCCCTGCTTTACTTTCTGCATTAAGTTCTGAAGGCTCAGGGTATGTTCTTTCTTCTTTTAATTTTGATTTGTCCTTGGCTTTAAACTAGGATGTCTTCTGTAGTTAACGGTCCCAGCTGACGTGATGCTCCTATGCTTACTGTTACGGGGGGGAGCGGGGACAAGTCTCATGGGAGGAGCCACCTAGAGGAAAGGGGGAAGTATTGATAAAGGGAAGGGATTTGTCATGCTACCACCCCTGGCAAAGGTGTCCCTCTGAGATCCCCAAGTCTGGGTTAGGTAGGCACCTTGACAGAGCAATTATGAACATGGGCTTTGAAGTTAGAGTGACCTGAGTTTGCACCCCGGCTCCCCTTGCTACTGTTAGGAGCCTTCAGCAAATCATGTCACCTCTCAGAGCCTCCAGTTTCTTCATCTGAAAACTGAGGTTAATATTATATTTATAAGTACTATAAATATTATATAGAAAGCACCTAGCACTCTGCTTGGCACCCAGAAGGTGCTTATAAATGGTAGCTACTCCAGTGCTCTATGGGACAGAAGACCCTGGAGAACAAATGGGATCACAGGTCCGGGAAGACCCTGGGGATTCCACAAGGGAGCCATCAGTGGTGCTGAGGCAAAAGCTGCAGGGCCATCACCCCCTCAGCTGATTGTGCCCTCTGGGAGAGGGGCGCAGTCAAACAGGCTGCTCAGCCAGCGCCAAACCTCAGCAAGGAAGCAGGTGTAGCTGGCTGTGTTCTGTGGCTGTTTGGCACAGTCATGAATGTCACCTTGCAAATACACCATAACTTCTGCGTCTCCGTTTAGTCTCTGGGCCAGAATTGAATTATTTGCTCCATGGGCCTTTCTCCCATGATGCACTGACTGTCGCTTTCATCTTCCAGGAAGGGTCTATTGAATGTCAGCTCAGTGAAAGGTAGAGAGACCATGAGAGAAGGTTCCTCCTGCTCCTCCCCATCTGCCCCCGCCCTCCACCTCCTCCTCTTCCTCCAGCATAATCACCGGCATCATAATCATTGTCATCATCATAATAATAGCTACCACATTAGGGCATCTACTAAGTATTAGGCCATTGCCAAAGTGCTTTGCACACACTTCCCCATTTAATCCTCTCTACAACCCCATGAGGTCATACCACAATGTAGGTATTATTATGCCCATTTTACAGGTAATGAAACAGAGAGGTGAGGTGAAATAATTCTCCCAATGTCAAAGAGCAGAGCCAGGAGTCACACCTAGTTTTGTCTAACTCCAGAGAGACAGAGGCATATCCCAGGAACTCCCATGTGAATGGAACAAGCTAAATAAGTGCTGGAACGGCTCAGAAGAGGGGGCGCCCCTTCCAGCTAATATGGCTAGGCCTCTGGGAAGAGGGGGAGATACTGGCATTGAAGGGTGGGTAAACTGCAACTAACTGGGCAGATGAGGAGGAAGGTAATGGGAGACATTCCCTGTTTCAGGGACTGACATGAGCAAAGGCAAAGAGTGGGAGAGCACAGGGCACGTTTCACGGACCAGGGGATGAGCAAAGCAGAGAGCAAGGCAGCAAGTGGAGGAAGGGGCCAGAAGGTGGCTTTTGTTCCCTGATAAAGTAGCAGCTAAAATAAATTGTAACAATCCAGGCAATGCACTTTCCCCAGCACTGGGAGAATTTCTAGACTATTTCTACCCTCTTCAAAAGGACAAAGAGTGTTTTAGGGGCCTGTGTGGGACCCGGGGGCTGAGTTTGGGAAGTCATTTCACAGCTCTTCAGACCTTTCTTTTCCTTGGATTCTAAATCCTGTTCTGTAATCATTAGCATTTTGGGCCTAAGCCTTTTCAAGCTGGCAGAACAAAAGCGACCACTGAGGCCGAGGAGAAAAGGACGGAAGAAGGTGACAGCCCAAAACCTGTCTGATGGAGACATAAAGCTGCTGGTGAACATCATCCGGGCCTATGACATCCCCGTGAGGAAGCCAACAGCAAGGTGAGCGCCCTCTGAGCAGCCTCGGGAGGGAGTGCGCAGGATCCCCACCAAGACCATTATTCTTTGTAGAATATTCACTCTTTGTTTTTAACTTAATTAGGTCATTCTGAGGGGCAGGAGGTTCTTGCTGAAAGTCAGTCGTCGTCAAAGCCCCATTGGTTGCAAGATACAAAACCAACTCAGACAACCTGAGGCCAAAGGGAGGATTTATTATGATTATTTCATAAAACTCAGGGACAAGAGGTACAGCTGAACTTTATGAGAGACTGCAGGAACTAAGACGGCTCATCTAAGGCCACACTGTTTCTCTCACTAGCTTTCCTCTCTGGGTTTGTTTCCTTTGTCCTCACATGATCTGTCCAGCCAGGGTCCCACCAGCCAAGTGTCATCTTCTCAGGAGAGGATCTGCAGGTCTAACTTGGGTCATCAGATGTTGATCCATGATCTAATCACCTGTGGCCAGAGAGGCAGGGTCACAAGGACTAGCCCTGAAGTTAGGGAAGAGTTCTCAGAAAAGTGGGTGTGACGTATTTGTCCTATGTTCTGAAACATATGTGCTATAAGCATAAAAATGTGACTTCCCTTTCATCTGTTCAGAAAAATGAGTTATGACTACTGTGGTTCACCACACTGGGGACACTGGGGAACCCGTAACCGCAGGTCAGACAGATCTGAGCTTCTTATTCCCTCAGAGAACAGAGATGGAAGGACCAAGAACTGAAAACTCCTTTTTGCTGTTGTCTTTGCCAGTGTAATGGGGGAAATTATCATTTACTGCACATTCACCATATTCCATGCACTATGCTAAGCACTTTCACATCCATTATTTCATTTATCTTTCACTGCCGTTACTATCTCCATATTACAAAGGGGAAAACAGAAGAGAGTGTAAGTGGTTTGCCCAAGGTCTTTCAGTGTCGTCTGATGTCCCAGAAGATCATGCTGTAGCCTTTGGCATCTTCTTTCCTCCCTAGGTTCTTCCCCCTTTAATTTATTTCTCCCTTTCTCCCTCTTCTCACCCCATTATTTTGCCCTATTTTTCTTTACTGACTAATTCTTTCGCTCATTACAATCTGGTCATCACCAACAATCCCCAATGCTTTCCTACTTATGAATGTCCATTTAAGCTCTTGGATTTCTGCCATGGCATTGCTTTCTTGAGCCCATAGCCAATCCCTTTCACCCTGATTGCATCAGGGCTCAACTGCGGGGTGAAAAGTTGTTTTCTAAAAGAATATCTAGGTGTTTATTTTTGGTCTTTACAGAATATTTTAAAGCATTAAACCTCTTTACTCAAATAATTGTTGTTAGTTGCCATCAAGTCAGTTCTGACTCATGACGATTCCATGTGTGCAGAGTAGAACTGCTCCGTAGGGTTTGCAAAGCTGTGACCTTTCAGAAGCAGATTACCAGGCCTTTCTTTCGAGGTGCCTCTAGGTGGATTCAAACTGCCAACATTTTGGCTAGCAGTCCAATGCTTAACGGTTTGCACCACAATTACAAGGAAGCATAGTTGATCCTATGTTTTACACATTTCAGTGGAGACTCATCGAGACAGCTATCTGAGATCTTCCATTAAGTCTGCCCAAATCTGCACCCTCCAAATCTGCACCTTACCAAATTAGATTTGCAACCTCCCTTTCTACACTCCAATACGCCATGTTCATCCCTCCACTCTAACATGTATCTCACTATATTGCTATTATTTGTTTACATGTCAGCCTTCCAGTCTAGTCTGAGCAGAAGTGTTGTCTGATTCATCTTTGCAGCTTCAGGATGTAACAGATGACTTTAAAGTAGGTACTTAACAAATGTTTGTATAATAATGTAATTGATGGTTTTCCAAAGAAAAAAGGGTTTTCTCCGGCAACTGTTGTGTTAAATGCTCCACTTATATTGTCTCATAGCCTGCCTAAAACTCCTAGCTATAAAAGGATGAGATAGTCTGGTAAAAAAGGACACTTTGTACTTTGTCCAGTAATGAATGTAAAATAGTCAGCGAACCATAACGTTCAGTATCAATATGCAAGTGGATTGTTAGGATGAGGGGGGAAGGTGTCTGGAAGAGGCTCTGGAGATGACTTTCATTTTTCCCTTTAAGAATAACAGACCGTTAGGGGACATTGAAGGAGCCCTGGTGGCACAATGGTTAAGAGCTTGGCTGCTAACCAAAAGAGCCACAGTTCAAATCTACCAGCTACTCCTTGGAAACCCTATGGGGCAGTTCTACTCTGTCCTATACGGTCCTTATGAGTTGGAATCAACTTGACAGCAACGAGTTTAGTTTTGGGTTTAGGGGACATAGAGTTTATTCTAACGGTGTGAAATGATTTGGAAAGGATAACGAGAATTGTTGCACAACTTGAAGAATGTAATCAATATTATTGAATTATACATGTAGAAATTGTTGAGTTGGCATATGTTTTGTTATGTAATTTTCACCATAATTAAATTAAAAAGAAAGAATAGCAGCTCAGAAGGGAGAAGGGAGAAGAAGGAAAACCCACTGAACTCAACGCAAGATAGTAATCCCTGAACCTCCCTTTCCCAGTGAGCTTGGCAGACCCAGAGGGAAATCCCTTGCCTGGAATATAGAGCTCAGGGTCTCCAGAGAGTGCAGGTTCAAAGAAAATACAGTGAGAGTGGTCTCTTCCCGTCCAGAGCAAAGAAGAATGAAGAAAACGAAAGACTCAAAAAAAAACAATTAGTCCAAAAGACTAATGGGCCACATGACTCACAGCCTGAGACCAGAAGAACTAGATGGTGTCTGGCTACCACTACCAACCTCTCTGATTGGGACCACAATAGTAGGTCATGGATAGAGTAGGAGAGAAATGTAGAAGAAATTCAAACTCATAAATAAGACCAGACTTACTGGTCTGATAGAGACTGGTGGAGCCCCTGAGACTACGGCCCTTAGATACCCTTCAAGCTTGGAACTGAAATCACTCCCAGATATCACAGTATAGCTATATAATAGACAGGCCTGTAAAATGAACAATAACACCAGTGATGAATGTACACCTCAGAACAATCAACTATATGACAACTAAAGGGCAGCATTTGCCTGAAAGCAAAGTTCAGAAGGACAGTTGGGGAAAGAAAGCTGGGCGAATGGACACAGGGAACCCAGGGAGGAAAGAAGGACAGCGCTGGCCCATTGAGGGGCTTGCAACCAGTGTCACAAAACAAGCTGTGTATAAATTGTTGAATGAGAAAGTAATTTGCTTTGTAAAATTTCACCTAAACAGCAATAAAATGTTCAAAAAATACAGTAGGAGAGGACTGGAGCTGGATGGAGACAGGGTAGGCTGATCTGGAAGCAGAGGATTCTGCTACTTGAGAGGGGTTGGGCTCTCATTTATGGTGGGAAAGATGGGTTACCACTCAGGGAGCCCCCAGGAGAGAAGGATAGAGAAGGGAACTTTTTCCTCTGTTCTCAACCAAACAAGCAGGCCTGGGGATAGAAGTTGGGGAGGCCCTAGTAATCACTAGCTAGCTGGAGAGGACCATCCTAAAAGCCTTCTGAGTCAACAAGTGTAGGGAGAATGTCTATCATCACAGCCACCAGATACCCTGTATCTTCGAGGGAAACGATTTTCACAGTAAATAGTTAGACTTTCCCTGTCATTTATTTTCTTTCATATCTTTCATTTTTCCTCCTAGCAAATTCCAGCAGCCATCGAGGTCTTCAAGGACGTTCAGGGAAAAGCATGCTGCCTCCCCAACTACCCACAGCCCCACCCACAGTGCGGACTACCCTTTTGGGCAGGTAAAATACCCAAATGCTAAATTTCAGCTTTGAATCTTATCCCTTTTGCTTTTAAGAATTGCCTATAAACTTCACAGTCTGTTTTCTGCTTCATTTTCTTTCGAAATATATTATTCAATAAACACACTCTACCTGCTAAGAGCAGAATTATCCAACTAACTGTTACTGGCTCTTATGATCTGTCCTTGATTTTAAGGTTTTAGTGCGTCCTTTTGTAGAAGTTTCTTTTCAACGAACTATTTGCCACACAACTACGGCTGAAGGACCAAACCCCAGCTGGAATGAAGAACTTGAACTTCCATTTAGGTAGGCACATTTCCTTCTTTAAAGAGCTATAGGCTGTTCCAGAGAAATGTGACAGACACAGAGGCTCAGAGAGAAAAGGCAAAGGTGAAAGGTTTTACAGCTAATGATCTGGAACAAGAACAAGGTACTCTGACACCAAGCCCCATTTTCCTCTTGTACCACAGTTGACCCAATTCGAGAAAAAAAATGGGAAAATGTCCAAACTTGAAAACTCAGGTTCACTGTCAGGACGGGGGCAGATTAACCAGTAAGCACGGTATGCACTGGCTTACGGTTACAGTAAGCAAGGTACGCCCGGGCTTAATTATGTTTATTTACTAATCTGTAGTGCACAGTTTCACATGGGTTTCTAATCCATCCCTAGTTGGGGCAACCCCCTGCTCTCCAGGCTTTGGCTTCTTATAGCCCAAAGCTTCTCATTCCCTTGCCCCC